TATATATATATATATATATACAACGAGAGGTGAGAGCGAGGCTTACTCTGGAGTGTCACTGATGGGGATCAATGTGCGTGCTGCAGCAGCACCCCAAGTGGTGCGGAAAGGGCATGGATGGAAAGGAGAGACGATGTCCTCCTGCGTCTGGGGGCAGTCTATGCCTCTCCCACGCAGTCCTCCTCATCCCACCACCAGTGTCTCTGAACCGTTACCGCTCATACCCCGACACTAAGTCACAGACGAACCTATACGTGTTTCACAAAAGCACGCGAAGGAAAAAAAACACATAAGAAGGGAATGATTATATTCGGTGCCGATCCGCCCCTGGCATACACACGCACATACACACACACACATGTACAAACATGCATGAAAAAGAGACTCGTAATTCATCATCAGTCACCAACGAGCAGAGAAAAGAAAAGAATAATTTAAGAGGGAAAAGGTATTAGCAGAAAAAAAATGAAAAGAAAACCAGAAAATGCGTAGGCAAGCCTGTCCATTGGCTCTTTCCTTATTTACGTTCATTCTATCTTCAGTTTTTTTTTCTGTGTGTTGATTTTGTTATTATTTGTATGTTTGCTCTCTTTCTGTTATTATTGTTCTTGTTTTTGGTTATTTCCCGCTCTGAGGTTTTTTTTTTTTCCGTGTTGTGTTGCTTGTGTGTATGTGTGTGTTGTGACGTTTTCTTTGTGTGGTGTTTTGTGTGCTCTCAAGACTGTTTGGTGATATGCGTGTGAATCCAGACACATCCCGCGTTTGACTGCACTCCGCCCCCTCTCCCAACGCATTAATTTGCTCTCCCGACAGTTGACTACAACCCAATCATGCGCCTTACCGCCACTACCACGACTGGCACCTCTATTCTCTCAGCGCTCGTGTGTGCATTTGCATATGCGTCTGTGGGTGTGCTGGTCAAGTTCATTCTGGGCTGCTGTCGCTACTTCTGTCCTGGGGATTTTCTCTTCGTGAAGTGGACACGTGCACTTCCACACGCACACCAAGCAAAAGGGCAGGGTAATATACATAGATCTACATTCGTTTGAGACAGCAAGAGTAACGTGTCAGATCCCCTCGCGTTCTAGATGTGGTCAAGACGCAATGCATTTCCGTTGGCAGAGCTGCGAGACGCGGCGTGTGCGCCAGTGGCTGTGACGCCGTCCGACCATCGGCGTTCCGCCGTGGACGGCTTGGCGGAGTGGGACAATATGGGAGAGTCGGCCATGACGGCGGAGTCGAAGATTAACTTCATATCGGCGCTCGCGTATAAACTCATTCCGGAGGTGTTGCGGGAGGAGGCGGCGATGATTCTCTCGTGGGTGATTGGCGATGCCGTCGGCGAGGAGTCTGTGGGGGCGCTCACGCAAGTGGAGTACTTCTTCGCAGGCACCGACAATGGCCACTTGTTTATGCTCCCGCTTTTGCCACCTTCGATGCGTCCTTTTGTGCAGAGGTCGCGATCTCCAGTGGCAGCGGCAAGAGCAGCAGGATCGGTGCCATGGAATGCGGGGCCGCGGCGGCTGCTCCACCGGCATGGACGCGAGGAGCCGGTGTTGGCGCTGGCGACGCTGGGCACACTTGTGGCGTCGGGCGGCTCCGACGCGCACTTGCATCTCAGTGTATTCCATCCCGCTCCGCACCACGTGGTGACGATATCGCACCCATCGCCGCTGCGCTGTCTGTTGATGTGGGAGGGCAGCATCTTTGTGGAAAGACTGGTGGATCCGCAGCAACAATATGATGTTGCCACATCAGAGAGCTCCATCGCATACGCCATTACGGGCGACGAGAGCGGCGTTGTTCGCATCTGGAGGGTGGACATCGAGAGTCGCACTTACTTCCTGACAGCTGTCTTCACTATTGTCACTGCGTCCGGGTGTTTAGGCTTTGCGTCCCCCCTACACTACCTCGCACGGGAGGACGTGGGCCGCGCGAAAGCTGAGGCGGAGCGGTCTGACGTGATCCACTGCCTCGCCATCGACGATAACCAGCGGTTGCTTGGTGGTGTGAAGGGGGGTGTTGTGGTCTGGTCGCTGGCGGAACTGCCGTGGAAGAAGGAAGAGGAAGACCACATCTTATGCTGGGACGACGAGCAGCTGCGAATGGAGCCAGCGGCAGTGCAGAGACTTCGGATCCGTGCCGAGCGGACGACGAACATAAGCGTCTGGGTTAAAAGCGCGTCACTCCTGCTGGAGTGTCTGCAGCGCGACGAAGATAACGACGCTAGCGTGACTGGTGATCACCGAGTGCCTGCTCCTTCCACATCTCCTGCGCACCCACCACAGCGGAGCAAATGGAAGCCCAAGTACGGCACGCACGCCGCTAACGGTTTTGACATAGGTGTGGTGAGCAATATGGTGTCACTTCCCTCACACAACAGCAGCAGCAACTCTGCGGCCTTGTTTCTCCGCACTGTGTGTCTCCCTCTCGTCTTCCCATCCCTCAAAAACACCGTTCACTTCCCGCTGTGGGCGGTGGAACCGGTTTTCACCCCCCTGGACATCTTGCCCACGGCGGGAAGCGCTTGCTATGCGCTTCTCGTGCTGCAGCACGGCAAACGCATCGCCACGAGCGGGTCCGATGGCAGTGTGACTGTGTGGGTATGGGATGCAGCAGCCAAGATGTACGCAAAGGCGCTGTCGTGCGGCGGGGGTATTGGCCACCGCGGCTTGGGCCGACGCGTATGCCTGATGCGCTCGCCTGATATTTTTATCTCCTGTGGCTACGACGATGGCATGGTGAAGGAGTGGCACGTGTACGATGAGCCCGAGCTGCTCATGCGCTGCGAGCGCCGCTTCACGCTTCTCCCTGCCAACTCGTACACGATCGCACCACCAGTACCCACAGAGGAGAAGGGGGACGAGGAGGTGGTCTCTGGGGTCTCGTGCGCCGTCTCCTTCCCGGAGTTCCACGCTCTTTTTCTCGTCGGTGCCTTTGAAAGTACAATTCAGACATTCAGCTTATCGGAAGTGCAGGGCTGCAGTCCACCAGCGGATTACATCTACAACGGCCACAAGACAGTGCGTGTGGTGCTGCCCCGTACTGCAGATGCCTCGCGTAGCAGTGTCGGGCAGTCGGAGGGGTAATTGAGTGTGACTTCCACTGAGCGTAACGTGTGTGAGGAGTCATTGCCAGTGCCGATGGCTCTTTTTTTTTGCTGGTGATGTTGTAAACTGTCTACTGCGCTGTGATTATGTTTGCCATTTTTGGTTTGTGCTGTTGAGCTCATTACTATTATTATTATTATTGTTGTTATTTTTGTCAATGCTGGTCCTCTTTTTCCTTCTTTTTTTTTTTTTTTCGTTACGCCGCGCCCCTTCGTTGCGAACAACAATATGCATATATTATATGAGAGAGAGAGAGAGAGTCTGAGAGGGCGGGTCTGTATTTCTGTAGCTGGTCGTACCGTCATGCCGGCCGCCGGCACCGACGCCTCGTCCCCCACAGAGTCAAGTAAAGCGGCGGACGTGTTTGGTAGCGCGACAAACACGTACGAGGCGCTCGAGGTGGTTTGCGTGGCGAACAGCGACAAGTACGCTGACGTGATGTTGCGGCTCTCCAACCCCGGTGGGGGGGCGCGACTGGCAGGGGCGCTGCTGCAGGCCGTCCAGCAGCTGGTCCCCTCCAGGCCGCTGACGGAGGTGTTCGGCAGCACAAAAGCGCCGCTCCTGCTGCTGTTCGTGCCCGCCTTGCTATTCAGGGCGTCGGTGCTTCTCGGCTCGCCACATACGGACATAGTGGGCCCCAACAAGGAGTGGGACGTCGTCAGCGCCTTCCTCCTGGCGACGCAGGGAGAACTCCTCGCCTCGCCGGGGCAGCGTGTGGTGCACATGACACACCTACCCCCGCCGCCCACTTTGCCCTCGGTGAAGCACACCCCGTCCTGGGCCACCATTCTCACAGAGACGGTGCTGGCGGATTTTGTGTCGCTCCCACCGGACGCGTCCCAGCGGAGCAGCTCATTGACAGCGGCCAACTTTGGAGCCGTGCTCTACGCCGCAACATGCGGTCTCGTTCATCTGTTGCAGGCCATCATGGCAGCGCCACCGCGCGTTGTCTGTGGCATGGGGACGCTGGAGTTTTTGAAGGCAACAATTCGTCTTTTGCTCTCACCGACCGTGTTGATCTACGGCTCTAAGGAGAACAACCTGCAGACGTGTATTGCGTCTCTCCTCCTCTTCCTTCGGAGCGCACTTGCTACTCGGGAAGCAGTTGGTGAAATACGACAGGAACATCTGATGGAGCAGTGGTCAAAGTGTATGCAGTGCTGGTTTGATTCAGCAACGCAATCCAGCAATACAGTGTGCATGCAGTTACTTTTCCCCTACATGTTATCGCCCGACATTACGTGGAATATCTAGGGTGTGAGGGGTGGCTGCCTCCGTGTGTTTTTCCACAGGTCATGTGAATCGGCGCAGGCTCAGGGTTTCAATGATCGGAGGGAAGGTAAGAAGCAATGGGCTGTTTGTTTCCCTTGCTGCTCTCCTCCTCTCTCTCTCTCTCGCTGTGTGTGTGTGATTGGGAAATTGAGTCTGCTCTGTAATGGCACGGGGCAGAAGATTATAGAACACAAGCCCCAGCAGAATTGACGCTTTCTGTGGGATGGACAATCCTACTGCTTGATAAGCCGCACGGTGTGCCTCACTGGGTTACGGGATGGCTCAATGCCTTGTTTCATTGGTTCTGTGTGCTTAGCACACTTTTTTATTGAGGGACGTGGTGGTTTCGTTTGTAGTGCCGATGCCCTAACGTCGGAAGAGTGTTAGTCGCTCATTCCGTCACCACGTTATGACTATTGTTGTGGCTGCATGGGTTGGAAGAAGTGGCGTGGAAGTGTGCCGGTGTAGCAACTCATTGAACTAGGCGTTGCGTGTGCTGGTGGGCCTGCGGTAGCACTGCCCCTTGTGTGGTTGGTGTTTTATGCTGTGGCCTTGCATCACTGGTGGGTCGCGGATGCGGGATTGGAGCGGTGCAAGAAGAGAGAGAAGGAAGAGTGCCACCCCCTCCGCCTCTGTTGCGGTCGGGCGAGGGCGTACAAGTGGTGTTTCGAAGCAGCAGCTGCAGCTGCAGCTGTGGTGTGAGTGGCTCTGGTTTTCCCCTCGACAAAAATGTTTCTTTTTTTCAATGCCTGTTTGTGTCTGCCCCCCTCCCCACTGCTGCGCACTTGAGCCTCGACCAGTGTCCAGCGATCCACGCCGTTGAAAAGGAAAAAAAAAAAAACAAGCACATACACACACACGCACACACAGGGGTTTAGTGAGGTAGCGGAAGGGAACAAAGAAGGAACCCAACATCATCTGAGTATTAAGCAAAAACGAAACGACAAACAACGATAGCACCAGAAAGGTGAAGAAAGGGTTCGGGTACAAATACGTAATGCATTCATCGTTTGCGTTGCTTCTCGCCACGTGCGTAACGCTGGTAGCCGGCGGCGTGCTCGCTGGTGAGGACGCCAACACGTACCACAACGGCGAGCCGGTGCGGGTGTATGGCAACAAAATAGGCCCGCTGCACAATGTATTTGAGACGTACGACCTGTTCCGCGCCCCCGGTTGCCCGCCCGCCAGCTGGGATCAGAAGGCTCCGACACTTGGCCAAGCACTTGTTGGTGACGAGCTGTACGAAATGAACGTTACGATACGATACGGTGGCGACGTGACGGGGGGACTTATCTGCCACTTCAAGCCCAGCGATGCGGAGGTAGCGCGGTGGCGTGAAATGATCGCTGAAGGTTACGCGTACCAGCTGCTGCTGGACGAACTGCCGCTCTGGGCAAGTTTTGGGCGAGTGGTGAAGGGGGAGCCTATGATTTACCTACACCGCACCTTCCACCTCGGCGTGAACCAGCAGCATATTGTCAACGTGACGCTAGAGACCGGCAACCTTGAGGCTCTTCGCATTGGCAAGACGTATGCTTTCACATATTCGGTTCGTTTCAAGCCGTCTTCTATTCCGTTTGAGGACCGCTTCGCAAAGTATGTGGATGAGGAGCTCTTCGAGCCCCGCATTCGATGGTTTGCTATCGGCAACTCCCTACTGCTAGCTGTATTCCTCGTTGTTGTGGTCACAACAATTCTCTCTCGCCTGCTGCGAACCGACTATCAGCGCATTGAGCACGAGCTACGCATGCGGGATGAAGGCAACGACGACCTCGTCGACAGCACGGGGTGGAAACAGCTCTACGCCGACATTCACCGCGTCCCCTCAAATCCGACGCTTTTGTGTGCTCTCATCGGCACGGGAGTACAGCTCTCCGTGGTGTTTGTGCTAGGAATCATCACGGCAGCATTTTACAGTCTGCACCGCAAACCAACTCAAGGGGCCGTTACGGTCGTCGCTGTGGTGTACGCCCTCACAGGTGTTGTGGCGGGATTTGTCTCGTCGGCCCAGTTCATGCGGTACGCAATGCTGAGCCCTGCCCTTTCCAAGAAGTGGATGCGCTGCATGGAGCTTACAATGCTTGTATTCCCGCTGTTCCTTGTGTCTTGTGGTACTGTTACGAATGGGCTCGCACACCTCTACGAGTCAGCTCGGGCAGTCCATCTTGGCGGCGTGACGTTTTTGATGGCGCTGCTGCTTGTGGGATTCTGCCCGTCAGTGGTGGCAGGAACACTCATGGGCCGCTATTTGTACCGGCGCCTCGCGTTGTCCCCGCGCAGTCATCGCGACTTGCCACATGTGAACCAGATTCCCCGGCTTATACCGCCGCCGCCAAGCACTCTTCTGTCCACCGGGATTTTCATCCTCCTCTGCGGCTTGCTGCCCTTTGGCTCCATTGTTTTTGAGCTCTGTCTTGTATTGAGTTCTATATGGCTGAACAAGCTTTACTACTTGTACACGTTCCTGTTGTTGGCATTTATTATATTCACGGTGGTCACATGTTGCGTTTCAATCACTGCGACCTATGTCCTTCTCAACATTGAGAACCACCGCTGGTCGTGGGTGGCGTTCGGTTTCGGTGCGTCTAGTGGGCTGTACGTGTACCTCTACGCTGTGTATTTCTACGTCTTCCGTACAGAAATGAGCGGTTTCTTCACGCTTGTCTTCTACTTTACATATTCCGCGACACTTTCGGTTGCTATTGGTGTTACCGGTGGGTCCGTTGCGTTCCTCGCTGCGTCACTGTTCATACGGAAGATATACGCCTATGTGAAGGCTGACTGATGCCACTGCGGAGCATTAAAGTGGGGAGTGAGAATGATGTGGTGGAGTGGGGTGCAGAGTGTTGCGACACGGCGAAGGGAAGGAACGAGGGAGAGGGAGACTGTGTGTGTGGGTGTGTGTGGGCCAGGACGGGTGGTGTGCGACGAGCGGCTTATCGGTGGAACAGCACAGCACGATAGCTCTCATTTTGCGGGGTCGTATCAGCACTCCGCTGTCCACCTTGTCTTGTTTTCTCTTTCTCTCTGTCTGTCTGTCTGTGAGTGTGTGTGGGCCGCGTTGTCTTCTACACCGCACGTGGTGGAGAGGAGAGACAGGCGTGTCTGAGAAACATGTGCGTGAGCGACGGGTGGGGTGATGCGTCCTTATTTCTTTCTTGGTCTTCTTCTCCAACTCACCCTCAACATTATAAAACACAAACACGGAGGGAGACACACACGCACCCAGAGGTGCACGTACGTTAATCTTGTTAATGAAGTTCGGCGTGGGCGAGCGGTCAGACGATGGGGACGAAGTAATTGCCACGTACAACGTGTACGCGTCGCCTTCACTGCAGCACCAGCTCCACATCTTTCAGTTCCCGCTGCGGCGCAAGATGCGGCCGTACGAGGCCAATGACGTGCGGCTCTTCACGACGGATGGTCTTGAACGCGCGCAAGACGACACAATACAGTCATCGAAACCAGCAACACCAGGCCAAGGCGACGCCACACCAGCTCCAATTCTGCGCCCGTCGTCGCGGCTGACAATGCACTGCCGCATCGACACGTTTGGATCGAGCTCTTTCGTGGAGCCGCAACAGCAGCAGCAGCAGCAGGCGGACGATGCGCTGGGGAAAGGTGGCCAGCAGCGCCGACATTCGTATGAGTATGCGTTGCAGTCGCACCCGTTTCAGCCACGCTGCGACTACGTTGTTGGCTTCATAGTTGATGGGGCCATTCACATCACTCCTGTTGCAACCATCCAGCAGTTCACGCCTATTGTGAAGCCTGCCACGTCTGACACGATGCACCGCGTGGGTGACGCCTTTGTGAGCGCGCCGTCCATGCCAATTCTCCCCGGCCTCGCCATCTCCGACCGCATCAACCGCGAGATGCTGCGTCAGCGGAGCGTCATGCTGAACACCGACGCGGCGACGGCTAAGGAGCTGCAGTACTTCCCGATTGACTCCGTAGAGAGTATGGCGATGCGGCGCCGGCTCTGGTCGCCCACGTACGAGGCGGCGGCGACACTCGCACATGCGGTCAGTGGACCGCGGCGCAACGCGCGCACGGAGGACAGTCTGTTCCCGCCCGAATTGCTCATCTCCGGCGGCATCTCTGGCGGCGAAGATGCGGCTACAGCTGGAAGTCTGCTACGCCGGTACGCCGACCGCCATAGCGTGATGAACCAGGTGGTTGTGCTGCTGCAGCGCTGCCAGGTCCTCAGCTTTGTGGAGATGCGGAAACTGGTGGTTCCACCAGACCAGACACTCGCCCTGTCGTCACCAACGTCACGGCAACAGCAACATCAGGAGCGTCTGATGGATGAGCAACTACTGGAGGCGCTGCGTGACACAGCAGTGTGGATACATGGAGTGTGGGTGTCCAAGAGGTCGGCCTGCTTCAAGGGCACAATTGCTGCCCTGCGTGAGGTGATTCTTCTTCATTTCTACGAAAGCCCAGATGGCGCCATCTCACGCGCACAGCTGAATAAGCTTTTCAACAGTACTGCCCATCGTCGCACCGTAAAGGAGGTTCTGATGAGCATGGCAACACTCAACAGCAGCGAGCTTGAACCTGGGAAGCGTGTGTGGCGCCTATGGCAAGTGCCTGCGGAGGCGGCCCTGCGTGAGGCGATGGTACATGCCTCCCAGAATGCATACCCACAGGAACTTGAATTCCAACGTATGCAGTGGGGCAAGCTGAAGCCATACATTATGGCACACCTAAAGGCCATCAATGCTGGTCAGTCGGTGGTGCGTCTGCACTTGGCGGCACGGCGGCACGAAGTCGGCAGTGATGTTGCAAACATTACAGGTGCCACCGCCGCCGCAGCAGCAGCAGCAACAGTGGCGCCGGCTTCCTTCAAGGATGAAGAAATCGCGCCCATTGTGGCGTATATCCGTCGGCTATTCCTGGAGCATGGTGTGGTGAACAAGCAACGCGCGAAGGAGCTGGTGATGAAAGCAAAGCAGCAGCACTACCCGGAGGCTACGAATCCGATGCTGAGTGTTGCCCTGCAGCGATGCGTGCAGCCGTTCACGAACGCCACGTGGGTCCTCAAGACACTTGGCGAACCGGACGTCGATCGCCATCGACCGATGATACTGGAGGCGGCGCTGGAGCTTGTAAATTTTGAGAACCGCGCTTTCAACGCGCTGCTGGAGGAGAAATTGAGGCGTCGCCCCACCAGTGAGAGCGGGGAGGGTCTGAGCTCTGAGGATCTGCAGAAGGTCGTCCCGCGTGTGTTGGCGGAGGTGGCGGTGTACAAGCAGCACGAGAGACTGTGGCACCTCAAGAGCGGAAATGTGGTGGCTGAGTGATACGTGCGCGGGGCACCAGCACCGCTGCTGTAAAGGCAAGAAGAGAGGATGTTTTTTTTTTTTTTTTNGGGGGGGGGGAGTGGGGGTGCGGATATTAGGTTGCCTTGTGGGGGCAAAGCACAAGACACTCGCGTTGGGGCTGATGCTCCCCCAAAGGGTCTTGCCCCAGCCCACCCCTGCTGCAGTCCTTTGTTTGTCTCTGTCTCTTGTTGCTACGACACGTCTTTCCGCTTTAGTGTCTGTGGGGGAGGGGAGTACGGGGGAGAACGTGTTGGTGTTGATGGGCACAGCGCTTTTCTCTACGCCCCGTCTTCATCTCTGTCTGTCTGTCTGTCTCCCTCTTTCCCTTGCTCATTCCCCTCTGCAGTTGTGGAACGCACAGACGAGAAATAGTAATAGGTCGGCATTCCGCGGAAGGGAGGCTAGTAATCGTAAAGGACGAGAGAGAGAGAGAGAGAGATAGGAAGAGGCACGCTTCTCTCCCCCTCACTTCTCGCTTGTTTTAAAGAGCGAAACAAAACCGAGGGAGTGAATTGTTGGAAATACGCAAGAGGAGAGCGGTGTGTGTTTTTCTTCTTTGTTTTATTTCCTCATAGAAGCACAGTAGCTTTGCGGGGAAGTATCTGGAGGGACGAGGGAGGCGGCGCACCACGTCATGGACACATTCACATTCGTCTGCAGGGAGCGCGACGCCCACGCGGTGCGGTTGGAGGTGCCGCTCATCGCCGTGAAGGCGACCGCCTTCAGTGCGGAGGTGCCGGCGCTGCTGTCGGCACACCGCCGGCTCCTCTGCATGAACACGAAGCAGCCCAACCGACTGCGCGTGCTCAACCGGCAGGGGAAATTCGCCGACACGGACGTGCAGGCGCCGCTGCTGCGCCACTTGGTGTCATCGGAGGGGCACCTTGACCACTGCGCCTTCTTCGCCGTGGGCGGCGACGCGGTGGTACGGCTCAAGCCCTTCAGCCACGCGAACGGCGAGATGAGCATCGCGCTGCGCGAGATGCGGCTGTCGGAGGAGCTCTACGGCGTCGCAGTTGGCGGCGGCGACACTGCCTACGCGCTGGGCAAGGCCCACGTGTTCGAGGTGGACATGGAGACTGCCACCAAGAGGGCGGCGATTGAGCTCACCTCACGCACCGTCGTCAAGCATCCGGTGCTCGCGTTTCACCACGAGGCGCAGCTGCTGCTCGCGCCGGCGAAGAGCAACTGCCTCGACCTCATCTCCACCACCTCACGCAAGAGCGTGCTGCCTAAGGTGTGGGAGCCTCACGCAAGCTCTGTCCCTACGGCCGCTTTCTTTCTGCAGAGGCGCACTTTTACCAGCGAGTCGGCCGGCAACATCTTCATTGTGACCGCTGCTCGTGGCAACACAGAGCTTCGGTTGTGGTGCTACAACAAGACGACGCGGACCTTCTCGCTTAAGCAGGACCTCTGCGTTTCCTTCGAGGATGACAACGGCGCAGCAGACTCTGGAGAAGCTGCTGCTGAGGATGATGACGAGGGAAAGTCGTTCCTAATCAGCTGCACGCCGACGGAGGAGTACATCACACTCTGTTCGCGGCGCCACCCACTGGCGGTGGTGGTGGAACTTCACCGCAGTAGCTTCAAGGTGGACCGCATCACCTCATGGAAGCTGCAGGGACCCGCGCTCGCTAGCGTGGCGACCGTCGGCAAAGTGGCGGAGTCAACGGCCAGCACTTCGGTAGAGTACCCACTTATGCTGACTGTCCGCACCGCGAGCGGCTTCTACGAAGAGGTGCTGGACGTTGATAAGCTTGCGGGCGCCTCCAACACGGCCGCGATGAAGCAAGGTTCCGTTGCCGCGTGGTTCCCGCACGGCGAGACTGGCAGCAGCAGCCCTGCCGCCGGCCTCCCCACTGCGCTGACCGCCGTGTCCTCCTCCGTTTTAGGTGACAAGACGACCAACACGGTGTCGCAGGTCATCGCATCGAGAGTAGTGCGGAAGCAAGCCTCGCAGTTCTGCGACACACTTCGTAGCATCGACGAGCGTGTGGTGGATCTACAGAAGCGCGCCTCTGAAGCGATGCGGCTGTTCCAGGAAGCGCGCGCCAGGGAGGAGGCGCAGACAATTGGTCGCAAGTTTGCCACACGTAACAAGGGGAGATTGGAGCATCAGCAGCAGCAGCAGCAGCAGCATCCGGCAATAACCGAATCGCCTGACGGTATGAATGCCGCACAACAGGAGCTCTTGGAACAAATCCGCTCTGTCGTGGATGAAGCGGAGCCCCTCACCGCGGAGTCTGCCGCTGAAGTAGTCAAGGCGCTGCTGTCGCGACGCCTGAAGGACGCGGTGGCGAAAGGTGCGAAGGAGGCGGAGCAGAGCGACGCAGGTGTCGTAATGCCGAACATCCGATCCACAGATAGCATGCGTGTCTTTAATAACGGCGTGGATGGGGCAATGCGGCAGCTCATCCGCACGATCAAGGACCACCACATCATGATGCAGGCCTCGCTCACCGCCTCCTCCTCCGCGTCGGCGGCCTGCCTCGCCAAGGCGAAGGACTTTGGCGAGACGCTCAAGCGCGAGATGCGGCTGCTGTCGCGCGAGCTGAAGGATACGACGGAGATTGTGTCGCGCGTGGGCGTCGCGGCGGCCCCCGTCGACCCCGACGTTCTTGTTGCGCGCGCCGTCGCGCTCGCGGAGGCGGGCGAATGGGGCACGGCGCTCACCATCGCGCTGGAGGCGTCGGACATCACCGTGCTGCTGGCCTTCCTCGAGCACAAGGTGTGCGCCGACAACATGAGCACCGTCGTCAGTCCGCAAACCATCACGCTGCCGACGTTCCTCAGCATGTGCCTGCAGTTGTCGTTCGAGTTGGGCGAGCAGCCGGGGTCCATTCCGCTGCGCATCCACCTCCTCCACGCCTTCTACGTTGAGTGGGACGATGCGCTGAAGGTGCTGAAGCGAAAGGCAGCGGCGGCGGAGGACGGTAATCAGCAGAAGCTGATGTTCGAGCTGACACGGCGGGAGATGCGCAACGTGGCGGAGCAGTTGGGGCGTGTCGAGGACCACTCGGTGGACCGTCGCAGCCGCAACAACTTGCGCCTGTTGAAGCGTCTGATAGGCTCGCTTCTCGCGGAGTAGAGTGTCGGGTGGTGCCGGCTCCGTCCGTTAACAGTAGGCGGCAGCAATAGCAGCAGCAGACGATGATGCATCTGCCATGTGTGTGTGCCGCTCTATCTTTCACCCACACGCTGCGCTCTCCATGCCGCTGTCGGTGTGTGTGTGCGTGGGGTGGGTGGAGGTGAGGAGTGCGTTAACATATAGGCTGTGCAATGGTAACAAGACAGAAGAACAACGAGGAAGAAGAAAGAAAGAAAGAAAAAAAAAGAAAGAAAGAAAGGAAATCCCGAAAAGAAAGAGGAGCAGAGAATTCAATTGGTAGGAGAAGCGGTAAGAAAGCGATAGATGGGGAGGGGAGAGATGATGCTTCTCTTTCTTGTGCCAAGAGAAAGAGTGAGAGAATAATGAAGAAAAATCGGGAGAGTGGGACACCACTTCTCTTTGGTTAAAGCCAGCCAGGCCGGACATGAAGCGCAGCTGATAGCCGAGGGAGTAGATGTCGTAGGAGGGGCAGGGCGTGTTGTGTTTGTGGACCTCTTCTCCCATATTGGGTTCCCCTTCTTTCTCTATTGGTGCTGTGTGGCCGTCTCTGGAAGAGTGCAATCGAAAAGGGATGAGCAAGGAACAGTCACTGCGCGCGCCGTCGGTGTTCGACGCGGCACGGCACGCCGCCACTGGCGTGTTCATCGCATACGCCGACACATACCTTGGCAAGCGGCTGTTTGACCAGTTTCGACACGCCAAGAGCAGCAGCAGCAGCAGCAGCGACAACAACAACAACAGCAGCAGCAGCAGCAAAGGGAGCAAGTGCTACAAACTCTTCGCGTGCACATGGGACAGGGATGCTGCAGAGCAATTAGCCAAGGAGGAGGCCGCTGCGACCGCAGCAGCAAAAGTTGATGCCGCTTCTTCTGGTCACGGTGATGACGGTCATGGCGATGAAGGTAATGGCGATGGTGGTGAGTCGAACGATTCGAACAGTGGCGCCCCTGCTCCCGCTGCTACTACTGCTGTGGCCATCTCTTCTACAGGTGTGGAGGAAGCCAACAACAACAACAACAGCAGCAGCGACAACCACACGCATGTCTTCTGGCGTGGCGACACAATGGAACTGCGGAACGCCCTCCTCGAGGCCGATTGCATTGTAATGGAGCTGCGACAGGCCCAGGATGTCTTTGACATGATGCATGTGCTGACGACCAAGGAGCTGCTGAAACCGAAGCGCGTCATTGTCGTGTCGTCGCTCTTGACGTGGTACGCCACACCACCGTTGCAGATGGAGCCAATGGGCGAGAGCAGCAGCAACAACAACAACCGCAACAAGAACGAAGAGGAAGAAGAGGAGGAGTCCATGGAGGAGCGTGAGGAGGAGCCGCAGCCGCTCGACAAGCGTGAAACGGAAGCACTCCTCGGTCCGGCGGACGAGAGAGGCAGCAACAATGGTGATGACGACGACAACAATAATGACGACGGCGAGGCCGTGGAACTCTTCACGGAGGACCAGTACAACCGCCGCATTCCCCACGCAAAGTACTTCAACTGGCGCGAGGCAGAACGCGTTGTGGCGGCCGCAAATGGCGATGAGCGGCACCTCCACACCTGCGTCATCTTCGCCGGACTTCCGTACGGCGACGGTGAGGACGCACTCGAGTCGTTCTTCACGCAGGCGTGGAGCCGCAAGGAGAAGGGGCTGCCGGTGTACGGCGATGGCACGCAGATCGTGCCAACTGTGCACGTGCGCGACCTCGTAACCTTCACGCAGCGTCTGCTCGAGGCGGAAGCACCGCCGGCCTTGCGGTACGTCTTCGCTGTGGACGGCGGCACCGTGTCGTGGCGGCGGATGGTGCAGACCGTGAACCGCGCCTTCGGCGGTGAGGAGACGTTCCACGTGCCACCTGAGGACTTCGTGCTGCACCACAACGTGGAGCTCTTCACAATGAACATGCGCGTCGACAACCAGACAATGCGGGACATCATGCCGGAGGACGAGGATTGGGTGGCACAGTCCGGCTTCGTCAACAACATCGAGAAAGTCACCTTCGAGTACATCAAGGCACACAAGCTGGAGCCTATCCGCATCGCCATTCTCGGCCCGCCGCTCGCCGGCAAGACGTGTCTAGCCGAAGCACTCGCACAGCGGCATTACAAACTACCGAGATTTACAATGGAGCGGGTGCTGGAGGAGTACAAGGAGCACATCGCCAGGCTGAAGGAACGACTAGAGCAGTTCCGCCGCCGGCTCTTCGAGCGGGAGAAGACGCGGCGAGAGGAGTTGAAGAAACGCATATTTCTGCGCCCGCGCGCCCGCACGGAGGGGGGGGAGGAGGAAGAGGCCGAGGACGAAGGGGAAGCAGAGCAGCAGGGGCAGTCCGACGCCCCTATGGGGGACATGGGATCGAGCCGAGTTAACGTCGGCAACAAGCGCCGCCACACCACCGGCGATGAGGACATGGAAGACAAGGAGGTCAAATTCACGCTGACGGAGGAGGAGGTGCAGGACGTGGAGACGCTTGTGGAGGAGTGGTACCAACAGAACGACCGCGTGGCACAGCTGCGTGAGACCATCGCCGCGATGGAGCGGGTGCTTCTGATGAAGGTGCGGGTGCAGTTGCCCGCCCCCGCTGAGGGCGTCAATGCCAGCAACCCCAAGAAGCGGAAGGAGAATGCAAAGACAAAGCGTCCCAGCAGGACAGCAAACAAAAAGGCAGCCGGCGACGAGGAGGAGCCGTCGGTGGAGGCGCAGGAGAATGCGCCGTTTCAGGACAAGGCGCTCGCCCTCATGATGCGATGGCGCCTCTCGCGCGCGGACTGCCGCAACCAAGGCTACGTGCTCGACGGCTTCCCGGAGACGGTCGCGCAGGCACGCCTTGTTTTTGGCGACGCCCCTCTCGAGGTGCCAGAAACCGTGGAGGAGGCGACGGGGGCGGGGGCCTCCCACCCATCTCATCCGGTAACGCCAACAACAGCTTCTGCGAACGCCGCACCGCCCACGGTGGAGCCGTGCGAAGAGGAGCGACTGCCCTCGTTTGTCTTTGTGCTTGAGGCCGCCGACAACTTCCTGCTGGAGCGACTAACGGCGGTGTCGAAGGCGGCGGGTGAGCTGGTTGGGGTTGAGGAAAAACGGCTTGCCCGCTTTGAAGAGGCGATGACGCAGTACCGGCGGCAGTTCGTCGATACAGAATACTCGCTGCCGAACTTCTTCGAGTGCGCGCGCACAGTGGCGAGGACGCTCACGCCCGGCGATCGCGCGGCGAAAGTGGTGGCCGTCAAGGTCGACGCGGAGCCGCTGCTGTTGCCACCACCGCCGGAGTCCGCCTTCGAGATTGTGGCGCCCAGCAATGTAGAGACGATCATTTGCCAACACGTCGGAGAGCCGCACAATCTCGGCCCCACACCGCAGGAACAGTTTGCGGAAATAACGCGCGAGGGCAACCTGGCGGAGGAGAAGCAGCGAAAAGAGTTAAAGGCACTCATGGATCAGCGCGAGCTGGAGAAGCTTGAGTACATCCGTGAGAGTGAGGAACGCTCGCACACGGAGAGTGTCCGCCGTGCCATAGAGAAGGCGGACCTTCAATCGTTGGAGAAGCGGAAGGTGCCGCTGCGGCTGTACCTGCAGCGCAACATCATGCCGCTGCTGAGCAAGGGTCTCGTGGAGGTGTGTAAGACACGGCCCGAAGACCCTGTTGACTTTCTTGCCGAGTGGTTGGCGCGCCACAACCCGCTAGACGATTCATGCTTCGACCTCTAATGGTTGTTGTCATACGATGTTATTACACAGTTACTTGAATTAGGTGGCGCCTGAAATGTACGTTAGCCGTTGTTATTTACTGCAGCCCTTCCTCACTATGCAGGCGCACTTCTCTCGGCCCATGTAATGGGTTGGGGCAAGAACGCGGCTTTGATGGAGAGGTTGGCGCAGGCTTTCTGCCCAACTACTTTGACTCAGTTAATACCTTGAGGTGTTGAGCGTTTCACTTTCCATTTCTTTTTTGTTGGATGGCATCTGGGAGGTATGCGTCTGCAGAATTGGTCTTTTTTTTCTTTTCGTGCTTCGACTCTGCGCATATTTACTTCTTTTTTTTTTTTTTTTNTCTGGCCATTTTTTCTTCTTTTTTTTTTTTTTTTGAAAAGCAGTAGTCCTTCAGCCCTCCGCGAGGCTGTGTACACATGTATGACGGTTCGAGCTCGTCTGCCGAGGAGGGTGACATCTTCGTGGGCCGCCACGCCGAGAAGACGGCTGCCACACGGCGGAGCATGAAGTCGCTCTTCGCAGAGGACGCGATGCAGTCAAAACACGGTGTCACTTCTCTGCGCTACGAGGGTGGAGCCGCTGTCACCGGTGGTGGTGGTGGTGGTGGCGGCATCAGCAGCAGCAAGGCGGTGTCGCTCTCTGCCATGGGAGGGGGCAACGCCCCCGGGCAGCCGCCGAATGCCCCGTCGCCGCTGCGAACCGCCGCGCAGGCGGTGGTTCTCACGTATAAAGGTGACGTGTTCGTCGGGCCGTGCGTAGTCGCGGTTTGTGTGCCGAATGTGAACGCCTTCATCACCTCTCCGCTCATTGCAATTGTCGACCGTGAAAAACATTCCCAGTGCCGAGTGCGGGTCGACAGGGAGCTGCAGTTGTTGCAGAACAAGTCTGAGCCACAGTATGGATCCCTGTACGACCCTAGCGTCGGTGTCCACTGGTCGCTGATGTTCAAGGGACGCCGCGAGTGCACGGAGTTCGTCGCCGCCGTCCACACGACCCTCCACTATATGGAGATGGAGACCAGTCCCATGCCACCCTTTGTGGAGTGGGAAGCGGCAACTGCGGCAGAGGCAGCAACAAAGCGGGAACTGAATGGAATGGTCTCCCATGGTGATGTTGTCTCTGTCTCATTCATGGCGTGGCTGCTGCGGCGTATCCCGGGGACACGTTTCTTCTCTCTAGGCAAACTAATCGAGGAGGTCCCTCCGGAAGCACCGCGTGAAGTGGTGTTAGGCGATGGCGTCATGATGGTGGGTGTCGAGGAGGTCCTCGTCGGCATGAACAGCGAATCCTCACGACTAGTGTTCCTGTCACCGGGAAAGACAGAGGTCCGGAAAGGTATCGGCAATCCAGAGGTTTCGCCCTCCGACGCTGTTGTGGTGCATATCACCTGCCACGAGGTCAGGTGCCGCAGCAATGCTATGGACAGGAAGAAAAACCTGACGACATCTGCTCACGCGGGGGACAACCCTCTTGGGAGTGGTGTTGATGCTGGTGGCGGGAACGCAACTTCATCATCATCAGAAGCAGCGGCAAGATTTCATAGTGAAGCCTCACACAAGCAAGAGCGGGCAACTCCTGTAGAAGTTGGGGGTGACACCAATACACTCCTACAAGCCATCCTCCTTCAAACGCTACAGCAGCAGAACAACAATAAAAACAGTAACACAGCTAGTGAGGGTGGTTGTGGTGAGAGTAGTGGACATTTGGCCACTATTGAGCGTGGCATTGACCGCGTCCATCTTCAGTTAGCCTCACTCTATGAGAAAATTGATCGCCTCGGTATCGACGAAAAAATTGCCAAGAACAACACTGTGATTGAGAGAATAGTAAAGCAGGCTGTGGGGAAAGCTCCAGTGAATGATGTGGACGTGGAAGACATGGACAAGGACCGGGATAGCCTTCTTGCCGTCATTGAGAATCTCAAGAAACGTCTTGGAGAGGCAACGGACAATTACCACCGCGCCCTTGAGGTCATGGGTCGGCACAAGGACGAGGTTCACCGCATGCAGAACGACCTGCTTATCCAGCAGGAGACGAATGCCTCGCGCGTGCGGCAGCTGGAGGAGCAACGCCGGCTGCAGCTCGTCGAAGCGGAGGTGCAGCACCGGCAGGCTCTGGAGCGCATTGCTGACGAGAAGTTCCGCGAGGGCCGTGACGCCGGCTTCGCAGAGGGCGTACGAGCGGGTCGGCAGGAAGCGTTTGAGGCCACCGGCGGTCACAGTGAGCATGAGTGGAAGGAGCGCCTCTTCACCAGTGAGCAGCGTATCGTGGAGCTGGAGTCAGAGATGCAGGAGCAAGAGGCGCGCCATATCGCCGAGCGGCGGCGGCTGCAGGAGCAGATCGACACACTGCAGGAAATGTCAGCGAAGCTGGAGAAGCGCGCGAAGGATGCGTCGAGTGCGGCGTCGCACTTCAGCCCCGACATCACTGCGCGACAGTGTAAGACACTGCGTCGTGCGATGAACGCAACGTATACAAATATCGAGTCACAGCTGTGGGAGGTTGGGCGGGACAGCGTGCAGGTGGAAGATGCACTGCGGATGGTCTTCATGGCTGTCAAGTCCGAGACTCGCACGTTCACCGACGAGATCAAGAAGGAAGCTGCGCTGTCGTGGGAAGGGGAGCGGCTCACGGAGAGTTGTCTGGAGGCACAGAGGGCTGAAGAGACCGTTCACGGTGACGCCCCACATACGCTAGAAGCCCCTGCGGAACACGGAACCGAGGCAGCATCGGCATCAGCAGTAGCAGCGGTGGACGGAACTGAGGAGGAGTGCTCAGTGCTTCTGTCTCACTCACAGGGTGTCACAGCGACCACACCGACAGCGGGGGCCGACTTGGTGCGGTTGGAAGGTTTGCCGCCCGCGCCACCGCAAAACACGGCGTCGTCGGGGCTCGCAAACCTGTCAGACGCGTACCCGGATCCGCCGGAGCTTGTTACAGGAGAAGGCAACCAAAACGGTGGGGACGAAGGCGAAGATGTCGAAAATGTTGACAAGGGTGTGGCAAAAAGTCACGTGACAGTTACCCCACCGCATGCGGATGACAGCGGCCAATCAGATTGAGACGGAATCCGTGCAAAGTTTAACTTTCGGTGAATCTCTCTCATTGTGTCTTCACTGGGTGTGGTGTGGTGTGGTGAAATATCTTCTTTTCTGCAGTGGAAGTGACTGCGCACGGAGATGGCGATGGCGTGTTGCTGTGCTTCTTTTTTTTTTTTTTGTTTCTCACCACACTATTGTATAATTTGCCCCGTCCTCTCCTCTTCCCCTCTCTCCGCCCCACTCTACCCCATCCCCATGAAAATAAAATTAAAAACAGCGCCGTTTCTGAATCACGAAATGGTGGGGGGCTTTAGTCTGGGAAGAGCTTTGGCCCGTCTGGTGTACGGCAACAAGGATAGCGGGTCCCCTCGCGATGCGGAGGTGTTCGACGCCGCGATCAAGCACACACTGGGCTGGTACGTCGTTGTTGGTTCCGTTGCCGTTGTTGTCACACCGCTGCTGTACACCACAGTGCGGGTTATCGCTGTGAAACGGAAGGCATTTATTCTGCAGACAGCATCTACTCTTGTGCATCCTTCTGCAGAAGTTAATGCTGCTGGCAAGACAGTTTCAAGGGCATTTTTTCTCACCAGCGTGCGGACGTCGGTGGCGGCGCGGCGTATTCTGGACGCGCGGCGTACCACCGACAATGAATTTGCAATTGTATTCGCTAATGAGGTGTTGAGGCTCTATATCGATAGTGCAGTTCGCGTTGTCTTGCGCTTGTGTTTTCGTGACTGCCTCTTCCATGTGGGTGTTTTCGTGTTTTGTGCTATGTTGGGTCGATTCAATCCCCTCCTGGTGGCTGGTGCAGGGGCTGCTGCTACTGGCGCTGATGCTGGCGATAGCGCCACGCCGTTCGGGACACTTCTCAGAGTGGCGCGGCAGGCTTGGTGGGATATATGTCACGGTGCGTTGCTGCTTTACACCGTAGAGGGCGTGACAAGCCCATACGCCTATTTCATCTTCAGTCAGTCGAGTCCGCGCATGCTGGAGCGTTGGTTTCCATGGTTTGGCAAAATCCACTTTGCGGTGGCACGCTGGGTTGATCCGAGCGTCTACTTGGATAGCCGCTGGCGCACACCAGACGCGGCGGATCGCGTTTGGCGTGCCATGACGCCGAAGGGATTTGCTGCAATGTGGTGCTGTCGTTGCGTGATGCCGCTTCTTTGTCCGACATATTACAAGGAAAGTGGTCGTATTGTTGTATACTCTTCGGAGGGGGGAAGTGCGTCTCAAGTGGTCGTTGTCGACATGTGCAAGAAGCCGTGTAATGGGGTAAAAGTGGAGTCAAAAGAGACCTCTAGAATCCCCCGTTTGTTGCCGATATTCCAATATATGTGCTGGCTCGTAGTCCGCACTGGTAAAACATCCATGATGATTTTTGCCCTAACCTCATTTGCCTCAGCCGCAAACTTCTCATGGCTGCCATTTCCATGTACTGGAGGTCCACAGTACGTGGCGCTGTGTTATGCGGAGATGGTATCAATGATGTGGTGGGTTTCATTCCTTGTAATACGCAGCTCGGTGGGCCGCTCTCTACGGCGCGGCCAAGCACACAATCCGTTGCAGCCCATACCAGGCAACGGCATTAAGGTTAATGCTTAGTCCACTTCTCGAGCTGCCGGTTACCATTATGCTGCCCACTGATGGCTGGGCGAGGTAGGGGGGAAATAAACAACAGACAAAAAGAAACAGCAAGAAAGGGTGGGGGCAACATGAAGGTGGATGTGCGTTGATTTGTCTGTGTGAGAGAGAGAATGTGGGTGGGTGTGTGAAAGTGGGAGGGTTTCACGTGCCGCTTTTTATTAAGTTTTCTTTTCCTTTGTTATTTCAATGGCTATTAGCGTTTAGTTAAGTGGTGGTCGTGGAAAACATGGACTATACATTCCCTGAGAAATACTTTAAAGTAGCGCTCTTTTTTGACCATGAGTTTGGTGACCTGGAGACAACAACCAAGCTTGACGACCGGCAGAAACTGCTTTTATACGCCCTCCGGCAGCAAGCGGAGCACGGCCCATGCACAAGCGCAGCACCACCTGTATGGTGGACACGTGACCGCTTCAAGCATGCTGCGTGGAAGCAGCTGGGCGGCATGTCGAAGTTCGAGGCAATGGTGCACTTTGTGAAGCTTGTGGAGGAATATTTGGGCGGTGAAGTGAACTGGGTGGAGAAATGCAGGGCACTGACTGAAGGAGAATCTCCTGCAGAGTTGGCGTGCTCCATCGATGAGCCGTGTTATCATGTGGAGGCCCACGATGACGAGGAATGCGCGTGGGACGACGATGTGCGTGCCCATCTGAGGCCAACAGTTGCGAACGTGAGGTACCTAGCGACCCAAGTGATGAAGTTGCGGCAAGAGATTGCGCAACTGTACACCCGCGAGGTGCAAAGGAGAGACGAGAAAAGTAGCACGGTGGAACTGGTACCGCCGGAGAAACCGGTTCCAAGCAGAAGTGACACCGGGAGGCTTATGGTGCCACCGATGCGTTCCTCCCCGCTGTGTATGACTGAAGCAGCGTTGAAAAGCACACGTGTGTCCTCACCCGCCCCACGCACGCGAGTTATGGGGTGGGCGGAATGGCTTGGCCTTAACTAATGTTGCGTAAAGCTGATGTTAGACACCAAACCTCACTACGGGTCAGAACTTTACTCATGATTTCATTTGCGCTCTTCTTCCTTACCTTTCGTTCCATTGAAGACTGTACGTGTCGTTTCCGGTAAAGATGTATATGGAACCGTTGTGCTCTTGAGACACACGGCTGTTCTTTTGTTCGTTATAGTTTGCTTTTCTCTTCGTGTGTCTACTATAAACAACATAGAGTAGACGGTATTCAAAAGAGAGGACGCCAAAAGGGGGGGGTCACTTTGAACATGAGCAGCGTCTCCACAATAACCTCACAACTCCTGTGCTCCAATGCCATGCTCGTGTAGAATTGTGTGCGTTTGGTCAGCGGCGGGTCTCGTGGCCGTCG